TGTTTATTATGACTTTGTAGAAGTTCAAAGACAGGATCTAAATGAGAAGAGCAGAAGCACGCTGGCTAATTTACTGTAACATTCCAGTAATCTGCACAGAAGTGGAAGGCTGAGCAAATTAAAGAGCTTAGAGTGAGAGGAGACTAGAAGGGGAAGGATGGAGAGGTATGTCAGGTTCCCAGCTGCATCCTCCTCTGTGTCAGCATCTTGTCACGGTCTGACCCCTCTGACCAAACAGACATGAGCCTCACCACTCCATGCCGCTGTCTGTCTCCCTCTTATACCCACTGTGTGCTTCTAACACAAAGGTGCTTCAGCAGCCTTCCTGTTGAGACTAGTGGGAGAGTGGCAGGCATTATTGATTGAATATTTTAAATCTGATACCTGCAGATCAACACTGACATTCTGTCTCTTTTCTTTGCACCACTAGGAGACATGTTGATATTATTACTGTTGCATATCTGACCAGGGAAACTGACTAGAAGGACTTTAATCAGCAGCTTCTGGATATGAGCCAACAGATGTGAGATTTGGGTGGGGTGTCACTTTGAAATGAAATATTGCAGCATTGGGAGGTACATACAAAAAATGATTATGTGTCAGGCTACATTCAGGACTGCATGTAAATGAAAAATGCAAGTGAGCAGTATTTCACCCTTTTGATGCATAAGGCAAAAACCTTATTATGACTCGGTTGATAAAAATGCACAGAGAGCTACAGTTGCACATTGATCTCTGAGTGGAGCCCAACCAAATGCCATGACATGTCGTTCTCATATCATTATATCAGCCAATGTTCTTCTGATGCAACTATGGAAATGCAGATAGAGATATCTGTGAAGGTCCAATCTGAGGTGACCAATACTGCCATGGGAAAAAGAAAGCTCACAGGAAAAACCAAGTGCAATCCATGACTCAGTTTTCCAGTTCTACCTTTAGAAACAATAACTTGAAGTAGTATGACTTTATCAGCCTTGATTAAATCATTGCGAATGAACTTTAGCTCACTCTTCTTTACAGCACCGACTCACTTCATTGAGGTTTGTGGTTATTCATTTATGCATCATTGTCCTGTTGTAAGACCCAGTTTTGGGCAAGCAAATCTCTGCTTTGGTCTTGTCTGTCCAACGGACTGTGTTCCAGAAGTTGGATGATTTGTTTAGGTGCAGCATTACAAAATTAAGCTGTGCTGCCATGTTTGCTTTAAAGAGAATATGTTCTCTCTTGGCAACTCTTCCAAACCAGCCATATTTGTTCTGTCTTTTTCTAATTGTACCATTATACACAACTTTTACCTAATGCTTGTAGAGTCTGAGATTCGGTTTTTTGTTTTTCTGGGGCTGAATTAGCTGGGAATTTCACTCCTGGGAGATTAGAATGTTTTGCACCTGTGAATAAATTTCTTGCTATAGAGTGATGGACTTCAAAATGTTTGGAGGTGGCGTCATATCACTTTCTAGATTGATGGACAGCAATAATTGCTTCTCTCAGATCATTGCTGATGTCTTTGGCATCTGTCTTTGGCTTGGTGTTAACACACGCCTAAATGATCCAGACTACAAACGTTCAAAACGTCTGCCTTTGTAGAGTTTACCATCTGTCTTTGACTGCATAGAGTCATGTGAGGACTTTGTTTTACACATGACTGTACAATCTCTATATGATAGATGATAGAATGATAGATATCCCTTTTCTTGACTGTACAGCAGTTCCTTGTTCTAGTTCTTGCAGTAATTTAAGTCATGAAATATTCTCCGCAGTAACTGTGGCTTATCAACCACAATATCTAAGATATTAAGAAGAAGTCTTTGCTTGGAAACATACCCATGCTTTTTATGGGTTTATATATAGATGCAATCTGTCCCCATTTAGGTGAAACCATATTTTTGGATTTATTCTTGTAAATTCATCCTCTTTGTCTAGTCCTCAAACAATTCTGAAATGTCTTTAATCTGTTTTTCAGGTACAGCAGCCCAAGAGTTGTGACTCTGCTCTGATAAATGTCAGCCTGCTCTGATATTTGTATGGGTCTATCGCCACAGCCAAAGGTGAGTTCATGCTATTGGCAATCCAGTTGTAATATATGTTGTTGTCAGAGGTTTCAACAGGTGCAGCACACGTTATGAGACAGTGTTAAAGTGCATCTGCAGAATCAAAGAAGCAGTTTATGTAGCTAATTTAAAGTTTGGGTCATCCAAGTTGTTGACACTTCTTTTGTCTGCCAGGTCTGTAGGGCTGCACTTTTATACAGGAACAGACAAAATTTCTCTTCTTACATATATCTTAGTTAGCTTTCTTGAATTCATCCTAGGAAAATGCTACAAGTACTCCATTTGACAGCCTTTTTTGAGTATTCTAACGTACTGATGTTCTTGTTTCAGATAGATACAGTAATGCCTTGTTGGCAGTTGACAAATAATTAAGGCCTTGGTGTTGGTTTCCTAGGAGCTGTAAACTGAAGTTGAACCTATTTGTGGAAGTTAAGATCCCCTTCCCCCCCAAAAAAAGAAGTGAAGAGAAAAACATTGGTCAGACTTTCTTTGCTAACTCTGAAAAGAGGACTCTGTTTAGTCGCTGATTTACTCGAACACTGAGTAGCAACCGTCTGTTGTTCCATTTTGATACTGTGGTTAATCTTGCTTCTGGCAGCTGAAACGGGGCATTTGTGTAGTGTGAATGAATACAAAGTATATCCCAAGTCCAGGTCATGTTTTGTTTCTGTCTTGATCTTGTACTTCTTTTTTAATGGGATTGAGCTATTGCACTGGCTGTTCTTGGGGGAGCAGTACATCACCGGAGCTGTGTTTGCCCACCTCAACTAGGAGTTTTATCCTGGCTTCAGATGAGAGACCAGCTTTAAGACCTGACAAGAAGAAGATATAAAGACTAGCCAAAAACAAAATTACGCAAAATCGTAAAGTCAACCAGGCTCCGGCATCCGGTATTGAAAGCACTGGCAGGGGATTTTAAGCCACCTCCACTGCCCCCTGGGGCTATGGTTCTGCCTCAATTGGTACCTTTTCTACTATTCCCCTGAGAGGCAGGAACAGACTGCTGGGAGAGAACCACTCAATGATACCTCAGTATCATATCTTTTTAGAATTCCTGCAGACGGGCGACGTGTTTATTTTTCTGATTTAATGTTTCATTTTTGTCCCTCTCTTTAAGTGCTAAAAACCTTTTCCTTTATTATTCATGCAGGTGGTAATAAGTGACCATCTGTGGACCCACTGTTTATCGCAGATTGGTTTCAAAAGAGGTGAAATCAGGGACACACACTCAGTTGCTCATTAAGCACCCTGCAGTTCATGCACTTCTTTTTTTATAGTTGCATAGCAACTAAAATAATCAAGTGCACCTTGTGCCGTTTAATCTCTTATTCTTGTTTGTTACTGGCAGCCGACACGAAACTTCTCATTTGTGTTTATGGACCGCGGGACAAAAACTGATGCAGTGAGATTTTCTTTGTAAATAACAAGTTCAGTGTGACCTTTCTCAGTAAAACTAAAGCATTTGGTCTTCAGTTATAAATAATGTCCACCTCAGCCCTTGCCATACCTGCAGAGGATGTCAGCGTACAACAGGTTCACCATGTAAAACGTGCAGAATAAATGCAGGGCTGAGAAGGTTAAGTGGACTGACATAAGGTCAGTGTAGTTATCTGTCTGTAAGACCCATTTTCATATCAAGGTCATTTTATCCTGAAGTCCTTGGCTCCTCAAAATGGCATCGGTTTAATTAATTCTCTGGAGCTTCACTAAGAAAGACCATTTTAGTAGTAAAGGACCACATATTAATCTGCTGGCACGGGGCCAATTACGGTACCCTGTCACTGTTCGTGTATGGCTTGTGTGGACTAATTGACTTGTCCAGACCTGAGCTCTGTGATTTAAACTTTGGTGTATGGCAGAAAAGTGGGACTATAATAATGTAATGATAATGCGGTAATGTTAATACTGTAATGGTAATCGCATAATGTGTAATTTTTTGAATTTGTGGTGAAGAGTGCTGAAGAGCATTTTCATTTGCGGTCTGTAGAGTCTCTGCAACTATATAAATGTTGTTGTATCACAAGCAGGTAGGTGCTACTGTTTCATGTAGCACTGCCTCTTCATCAAAGTTTTACACACTCCCAAAGCGTAACATATTAAGCTATGTGACCAATCGTTGGTAACCCAACACGTTTCTAAGTTACGCGTTCGGATAAAGGAGGAAACATGAGAACCGTTTGGACTCAATCTACACATGTACATTTATTTTACGTTCTCATCATGAATCGCTTTGGAAAACACTATCTAACGTGATTAAGGTTGTGGTTAGGGTTAGGATTAAGGTTAGGGTTAAGGCTGGAATACACAGCTGGAATGTGTGTTACCACCAGGAACGTCATTCTACTGGATTTCATCCACAATCCGGAGCATACCATACGAACACCGTTACCTTTTGCGTTCTCAGAGTGTTTAGAGTGTTTTAGTCATTTATCACCTTCTCAGGTGTTTCTCATTTTCTTTGAAACATATACTTGCTAACTAAATATTTGAAGAGGTCTGACTATGGGCCAAATAAACAGGCAACTTCATTGGATCTTGAGCTTTGGGAATTTAGTTATTTCTATATGTGGGACTCCAGGATTAATTGAAAATTTTGAAAACAAAATCACTGTATCCCTGAATATGCATGACCATGTCAATGTTTCTACTACAAAGTGCAACAGTTGAAACCCCTGTTAAATCACAAATCTACAGAATTGATAATCAAATTTTTTGGGGAAATCCGAGTTCAGTGAGACAAGCCACACCCGGGCCTGATTACTGTCAGACCCGTTGAATCAATGAATCACTTAAATTGAACTTGTCTGACGAGGTGGCGTAGGCTTAACGATCCCAAAAAGCATCACATCGTGCCACAAACTAAAGAAATTTAAGAACAGCTGAGAAACAAAGTCATTCGTCTTGAGGGTGGCTGTCACTCGTTAGGAAGAGCAGGTCATCTACTAATCAGATGGTTGGTAGTTCAATCTCCAGTCTCCAAAGTATCCTTGGCCAAGATACTAAACCCTGAGTGGCTTTTCTTTTTGAGACCAATTTCAGTCAGCAACTGCTGGTCGATGAGTTGGGAATTCCAAATTTTCCCACTAAACCTGTGAATACCAGATGGTGTCTGATGAGTCTTTAGGCCTGTGTGACTATGGCTTAATGTGTATATTGTTTATGTTGCCCCTGGAGATGATTTAAATTGCTTATATACTGCTTGGTTAGCTTTATGTATACTAGTACAGCATAGTAACTAAAAATAGGTGGCTGGGAGAGAGAATAAGCCTCACAAATACCTGTCCAATCAGTGCAGAGTCAAAGGGTTCCTTCTCTTTTAGTGGTATCTGGCGGAGCTAAGTATTGAGCTTAAAAGCCATGCTTATGGCAGACATTATAAGTTGGCTCAGCTCTGTCCTGCAATTCAGCAACTGTTTCAACAAAGTTTTGAAGATTCTTTTTTTGACAGTGCTGTTGAATGTGCAGAGGAGGACTTTTAATAAGACAGCATCAGCCAGCAGTCACACAGCCCATCTCTAAGGACCAACAGGCCCACAGCCTGAACTCAACAGCTTTCTGTCTCTCCCCCACCCCCCCATCTTTTTGCCTCTTTCACACTGACACCTTTGAGAATCTGGTGTTTTGTTTTTATCTGAAGGAAGAGCAACTGCTGGCCCATAGGCCAGTATTCCCAGTATGCTCAGTTTTCCAACGAATTGAGATAGAGGAGTATTTATTAGAGGTAATCGTGCTTTTTATGAAACCCACTCTCACGTTTATTTGTGCTTCTTTCACATTAGATTTCTTTTTTACATGATTAATCAGAACAATTGCTCAAGAGAACTGCTAGCCCAAGTGACACTTAGGCCATGTTGTTACTGAAATGATTTCTTGACATCCTCTCCCCTCCGCTTCAGGAAGCGTTCAAATAATGTTTATTGCACACTTTGATTCATTCAATGCCAGAACTAGACTGAAGCCACTGTTAATCATTTTATGCACTGGAGGCACATTAATGGTCTGACGAAAGATGACTTTAATAAGTTAATGTACGGCAAGTGAGAAGAGCTTTTTATGACTGGATCTGGCACCATGAATTGGTTGAGACAGAGCGCGAAATGGGTTTTCAGCCATGCAGTCAACTCGAGTCCACAGCTGAATGTGCAATCTTTTTAGGAAATTACAGGTTGTAATGATAAAGCCTTCACGTCTGCATTTACCACAGTAATGAGGCTGACCATACTCATAACATTTCCAACATTTCAGCTGCAGCAGAGAACTTGACGGTGAAAAAAACAAGAGGTTTTTCAGGCTTCTTAGATTGTATGTTTGACTTGAACAAAATTAGTGTGGTGCTGAAGATATGGATGGTGTGTAGAGCTCATATTTGCAGAATCCCAAAATATGAATGTGGTGGGGTTTAGCTGGAGCCAAAATTTCTGTGTATCTACTGCATATTCAACCTGATGCTATTTATTATATTCCCATTCTGTCACTGCAGCACATTAATAACACTGTGGAAATACCTTGGGACCAACTGCTCCATTTTAGTCGGTTTGTATAGCACTTTCGCTAATAATTACATCTTCCAGAGCAGTCCAGAGAGAACATGCACTTATCTCCAGTGGGCTGCTTCTTGGGTGACAATTGTGGGTGTTTTATTAAATGGTCACAAATTATAGTGCCACCCCAGGAGGGCTGCTGTCTTTAGTTTCCTCTGTGATATTGTTATGGAAAACTTTAGTCTGCTGGCAAAAAGGTCACAATAAAGCCCGTCTGTGTTAAAATCTCTTCTCTAGTCATGGTTTTACCTATCTGAATTAAATGCCATAATGTCTGCATGCTAGAACAAAATGTTTACCACCTTATTGTAATTTGTTAGCATGCTAACACACTCCACTTGTTTTCAGGGAACGTACATGAAGTGAACATGTCTCCCTAATGACAGTGCATTTACAATATGAGCCTTTACTTTTAATTCTATGGTACTTTTGTGGTACGTTACTGTAGTTTTATCC